AAAGGAATTGAAAGAAGCAATATTTAGCGAAAAGGCACATGCTCTGATCACAAATCATTACAACAAAAACCAAGTGGATTTTAAATTCATTCCTCCTCGGGCCCCATCGTTTGGCGGCCTCAGGGAAGCTGCGGTAAAATCAGCGAAAAGGCTGTTAATTACAACCACAGAAACAGCATCCTTGACGTTTGAGGAGCTGAACACATTCATAATCGCAATTGAGGCAATTCTCAACTTCCGACCCATAACGCCAATGTCAAATGATCCAACGGATACAAGTGCGCTTACTCCAGGGCGTTTCCTGATCGGTGAACCTTTGACCGCAGCAACTGACGTCAACACTGATCGTCAAGAAAAAACTCTGGTTAAGCGCTGGGAATTGGTTTCACGCTTAAAACATGCATTTTGGAAACAATGGTCTACGGAATACATCCACGAACTACAAACTCGGCATAAATGGAAAACCACCGCTCCAAACGTGACCGAAGGATTATTAGTTTTGGTGAAGGAAGACAACCTTCCAGCAATGAAGTGGAAAATGGGTCGCATCATCAAAACTTATCCTGGGCAAGACAACCATGTACGAGTGGTTGATGTCAAAACATCGTCCGGCGTATACCAACGCCCCATCAGTCGTCTCGCCCCATTATTCTCAGAGGAGGTAGCAACAAAACGCTCCAAAAATGCTAGTCAAGACAGGAGCCACCAACACAGCGAAAAAGGTTATCATTACCTACACTAACATACACATTGCTAGTGTTACTTCTCATGCTGCCATTAGCATTTTCACAATCAATAAATGTGACGCAATTTGCAAGCAAGCCTGTAATATTCTATGAGAAACTTGGAACTTCAAGAATGACCACTTCCGAATGGACCATGATTATATACTACGACTTGGATCCATGTTGGAAGGACATGCAAGTCATGTCCGGAATGTCCGAACGAAGACAAATGTGCCCTGAACTAAATAACTTTCCAGCATGCAACTCCATATTTCAACACTTTCAACATTTTTACAAAGAACTACAAACAGGAAATATGCTAATAAAAACTTCTAGACAACACAGATCACCGCTAGATATAGTGGAACACGTGGCACACCAGCTGTTCGGCGTACTTGACTCTACATATGCTGAGAAAATGGCCGAAGTAATCGAAAAGGTACAAACCAACGAAGACTTTCTGCTACGTCTGCTACGAACGTAGTACGTACGTAAACGTAATCAGGAAGAATAAGCCACCCATGGACAACCGCCTAAAGTTATTGGAACAACAAGTGGCAACCATCAGCCGAGAAAGAGGATCATATCACGGCGGTCATCTAATTTAGTCATACCTAGGGCTCACAGCACAAATAACTCTGCTGACAACGAGTCTTCAACGTATGCAGTCTGACATATCTGACGTATTAATCGGCATTCACCATCGGACAATAAGCCCAACGCTAGTATCTCCTGAGCAATTAACTAGGCCAAATCCGGGATCACTTGCCAGCTGATCAAATGCTGCCTGTCACAACACAAAATGTGATACAATTATACAGGCTCATGCGAGCCGAAGGAACACTGACTGCCACACACGTAATTTTCAAGGTGACACTACCGTTAGTTTCAACAGTTCAGCTCGAAGTTTTCAGTATCATGCCAATTCCGGTCTGGGACTCAAGAAGTTGGAGCTTGTTCAATCTTAAAACGACCAAAATCACTGTGAACACTTACCGAGATCAATTCATGGGATTTACTCCAGAAGAATTTCGACGCTGCTTTAAACTACTCAACGCATAATACATCTGCTTTGATCATCAAAAAGTCTTCAATGTCAACAATCGCTGTGAGTTTCAGTTGTTTCACAATAAAACAGCACCTTTATGTGAAGTGACCCACACGAAGGCGGACATGGTGTGGTCCAAAACTCAACAAGCAAATAAATGGATTTTTGGAACACACTCTACAATGAGACTTCAGGCAGTTTGCAATGGTTCTCCGTCAACCATACAACTGGAAGAAACTGGCTACTCTCACTGTCACCTGGATGCACTGCTCGCAATACAGAAATAAGCATCAGTACCTTCAGCACAACAATCAGTGAAGTCAAATCAACCTACACTCGATATGGACACATACGCTTACAAGCGACACCCCCTTCGCCAGAAACTGTACAATTGGAGAATAAGACATCAGACTATCTTCAAGAATTGGAAGATCTACGCCTGCAATTAGTGGCAATCAATCAACAAAGGCTGCCACACCATCTCAACACAGTGCAGCATCATCAAATCGCTACTTATGCTGCCCTAGCAATTTCAATGCAATTGATTATTGCGTTCATTCTCCGGAAGAATGAATGAATGAATAAATATCAATCATGGAACCCAAGGCCGTCAACAATCAACCAAGCAGAGCCACGTGGATCATCACCCCCGATCCGTATATAACGCCGCTTTTCAGTCGACTTGGGCGATGGTTGAACACCAGTTCAACAGCCGGGAGAATGTTCAGTCGTACATTCATGCATTAATTAATATTTCATAATATACACTTATCGAACAAGTCAGGTCGACCCATGTAACGGGAGACATAATAACAAACGACAAAGCATTGTAGCTGAGTCAACAATAACCGCTTCTGCAGCAATTTCTGCCAACGATGCGATCGCTCTTCAGAGGTCAAAAACACTGGTGCAATTGCTGACTATCACAATTGCCCAATAACACAATATCATATTAAATCCAAATTAATTCAATATTAATTCCAATTCCATTTTACCATATTCTTACTAGACTCAGCACTTTCTGTACCTTTTGTTACCTATAAATAGAATTTAAGTTTGTTGAATAAAATCAGTATCAGAAACAGTACCATCACTGCCGTTCACTCGTTTACTCTACAACTGCAATCATCAGAGGCTGTCGCCGTGTCTTCAGACCCTCATTTGCTCACTGTAGGAAACCCTCTCCGCAGTCCAACTGGTTTAAGTTCTTATTGCGACGAGAAAATTGTGAACGGTTTATGTGCCATATGCATACCAAATCACAAACACACATTAACATATAAATATCCTTAAAAATTAAAAATTAATGAAAAAAATATCTTAACATTTTAAATAATAGCCAAAGGGTATACAAAAGTTTTTAATTTTCTATAAATAGGTTCCTCAAAAATTAAAAATGAATAAAAAACGAGAAGGAACATGTTAGTCGCTTCTGGGGACGCGACATTACATATACCCATACTCAGTCAGTATATACAGTTTTGAGCATCAGATTTTTTAGAATTTAAAAAAAAAATTGCATTTTTACATTTTTTTTGCCTCATCTGTTATCTACATCTACAATGTATATTCTACATCTAACATGTAAATTATACATGTACCATTTAGATTTTACATCTTCTCCGCTAGAGGGCGCGCGTACATAACGAGGCAGAGTGGGCGAGCCAGAAAGAGAATGAGTAGCGTGTCTCTGGCTGAAGTAGGTGGGGGAAGCCACTGAAAATTAATTTCTTCATTCTGGCTATAATTATGATTCGATCTGATTTCTGCTTCGGCAATCTGGTGGATATGGTCTTTCTCCACGATTTTGCGTTTTCAGTTTTATCGTATCTTTAAAATTGTGCCTGTCACATATTTTCGTCCTTTGCGGTGGCGGAAGACGGCGGGGCGAAATTTTAAAACACACTTATAGCAGTGTGATATCACATGAGTCTGGAAACCAAATTTGGTTGCCCTGGCTCCTATAGTCTCTGAGATCTAAGCGCTCCTCAAGACGGACAGACGGACGGACGGACAGACGGACATGGCTCTATCGACTCGGCTATTGATGCTGATCAAGAATATATATACTTTATGGGGTCGGAAACGTTTCCTTCTCTGCGTTCTCTGCGTTTCCTTCTCTCTAATATACCCCTTAGCTCTTTTTTTAGTACGGGTATAAAAATCTCAAATTTGGTCTAAAAATGTGTGTTAGAACTATTTCATTTTATTTTGTGTCATTCTGTAGAACAGAAAATTTTATGATAGTTTTTTTTTTTAATACCTTTTTGTATGAAAAATATTTGTAGCTTTTGATTACACTAGTCAACACGACATTTACGCTGTGACAGTTACGCTGACAAACGTAAATATAAATTCAACCCAAACACTTTGTAGCTGAAGCTTAACGCCTGGAAGATATTAAACTCTCAAATTAAAATGTCATTTTTTTTGCGGTATTTTTCCCCGAAATTTGGACTTTACAAACTCAGGAAAACTCTAAAAAAAATATTTCTTGGCATGCATTTTTTGTTTTAGATAGACGCATTAATTAGGCGTCGTTTAAGGTATTGTTCAATCTATGGAGATGTGGTGGAGCTAAAATTCGGTAACCAAACCTCAAAAATGAAAATGTAGACAAAAAATACTTTTTGGAAGGTTGCGGGCCCAACTGCCAATTGGAAACAAAGCACACGAAAAGGGGTTGAATTTTTGGTACCTGAACGTGTTCCTTTGGCATTGGACCAGCAACGGTATTTTTTAGGTAAAATGAGCTTGGAGTCGTTTTGGTCAAACGGCTGCAAGTTGGCCATTTATCCATCGATTCTTTCGAACTATACCCTAAACGACGCTTAATTTATGCGCATATCTAAAACTTAAAATGTTGGCCAAGAATTTTTTTTTCTACTTTTCCCGAGGATTGGATTTATAGCTGCATTTGTCAGCTTTTCAGAACTGCAATGTTCTATGCAACCAGATATAAGATATTTAAGTTATGTGAAAAATAGAAGCACTACCTCTGAAAAAACCATAAAAAAAAAGATTTAAAAAATTCTTTAAAAAAAAAATTAAACAATACAATCAAAACATTTCCTGGCGATTACACAAAAATATAACGTTTCCTTTCAAATGATGTCATTTGGAGCCGAAGTTGTTGATCAACCCGGATACAATCCGAGTTATAAGGTAATGGCATCAACATGAATTTCTCATTTTTATTTTTTTCGAAATGGCTTTAAAACATTCAGATTCAAGGGAAAATTCGCCATCGAGCGGGCGCTTTGTGACCACCACCAAACGAAGATCATATGTTTCTTCGGATCTATTTCGTTGGAGGTTCAACAATAGAACTAGACAGGCGTTGTGCAATTTTTACTGTGACTAAAAGTAAAATGATACACCAATTGCTAAATCTTCTGCATGAGCATAATGAATTGGTCAGATTGTTTAAAACCGTATTGGATGCAATGCATTCTGACGACCACAAAACAATTAACAATTGCACCGTGTATACGAGACTCATCGGTCATATACACATTGGTGTACTGTTGTGGAGAGGATCGCTATCACTTAAATATAAAGACGACAGACGACAAAAGTAATTACTTATTTTTTTCATTCTACAACTAAGTTGAATAAATTCATATTTCAGGAGAAGAAACGAATAAGGTCAGCGCAATCAATTTTTAAGCGTATTGATTGATGAATCGGCAAGATGTTGACAGCTATGCAGAGAATACAAATTTTGGACACATGTGCTAGATGGAGACGTCGAGAAACGCCATGAAATTTGGCAACCGCTGAACCACGTTTAAGCGGTCGCCCAGCAGCGGCAGCGACGTATAGGAGAAAATCGGCAAAAACGCGACCACATTGTCAACGCATAACCACGAGCGGCTCACGAGAAAATAAATCAGCAACATTGCGACTACGTTGTCACAGCATTGCCACGCGCGGCTCACGGGACAAAATAATCGGCAACAGCGCACCGACGCGCCCGCCGGAAACAACAGCAGCGTACACATGTTAGTGTTTGTGTGTATGCTATTCTGTGTGGCGCGCGTAAAAATCATTTAAATAGCTTCTTGACTCTATCATTACCTTTAAGTGGTTGCGACGATCAGAAGCGATTTTTTCATTGGAGTTCCGTGAGCAATTTAACTAAATTCATTTCATACGCAACTTTCATTGCGAAAACAATACCTTTGCCATATATCAATAAACTGGCGATTGCTTTACCGTTTTACCCGTCTGCTCCGCATCATAGTTTTCCTCTTTCATATTGCCCTTTAACTGCAGGGATATTAGTAGTTTGTCATACATTTTAATGCAAATAAAAGACTAATAGTGGCAGGTTTTTTAAATGTTTTGCTAAACATTAATAACTCACTGATCCAACATAAAGTGGTGGAAATATTGAAGACGGTTTTTGATTATAAAGATTATTTTCCAAGAAATCCGAACAGAAGAAAAAGAATAGAAGAATATGTTGTGGGTAATTGGCAGAGATTTCATCCATTGACCCATAATTGAGAAGGCAATAATTCTGAAAGCTCTGATGAGTATGCATCGGATAATATCTTCGACATACGGAAGCACTTGCGATTTAACTGCAGTTTGTGAAATTTAATCCAGTTCCGTCGAGGTTTTTAACAATGATGGACTTTTTTACCAATTTGGCGAGGAGCAAAATACAGTTAAAAGATATATTTTCAACAAGCTACAATTTTTCAGATTATGCAGAAAAGTATCGCGATATTGGAACTGAAGGTATCAGGTAGGTATTTACTCCACAACGTGCATCAACTTCTCTATCATCACCGATTAAGTACATTTGTCGAAATGTATGTTCCCTATCTGGCAACGGGAGCAGGGAGGAGCGTTGTGATAGATTAGCCCTATGATTTTTAAAGTTGGCACGCATTGGTCAGTCACAATTTCCGGAACAAATGACGTAATTTGGAAGCAAGAATTATATTTCGTAATGTTCGATAGAAAATGCTTCGATTCAGCAGCAGATCCAGCAAGTAGAGTTGATTTGATTTTCCCGAAAAACACATTCTTTTCGTTTCATTAAACTACTCGACAAAATTTAAGTTTTTCTTCCCGCTCTGGACAAAAATGACTTTTTCTTGTAGATTTCGGGATTTAAATATTTTTATGCTATTTTTTTTTTGTATGGTTTAGTTTTTTTAAGAATTTTTGAAATATGGTATTTTATTATGTTTTGTTTTTTCAGAGGTAGTGCTTCTATTTTTCAAATAACTTAAGTATCTTATATCTGGTTGCATAGAACTTTGCAGTTCTGAAAAGCTGACAAATGCAGCTATAAGTTCGGACGCCACACTTTGTAGCTGCATTTCCGAAATTTTGTCTTTAAAAACTCAGGAAAAGTAGAAAAAAAAATATTTCTTAGCATGCATTTTTTGGTTTTAGATTTAGGCGTCGTTTAGGGTGTCCGTTGAAAGAATCGATAAATAAAAGGCCAAGTTGCAGCCGTTTAATCAAAACGACTCAAAACCCAATTAACCTGAAAAATACCGTACGGTACGTTGTACTATCGTGGCATACATTTTTAGTTTTAAATAGATGCATTATTTAGGCGTCGTATAAGGTATTGTTCATTAAAATCTATGGAGAGACTTTGGAGCTAAAATTCGTTAACCAAACATAAAAAAAGAAAAAAAAAAAACAAAAAATACTTTTTTGAAGGTTGCGGGACCAACTGCCGATTGGGAACAAAGCAAACGAAAAGAGGTTGAATTTTTATTTGGTGTTATGTTGCTACAAGTTTTTAAACGTATGTGATAAATTTGGTTTTCAGCTGCTTATTACTGTTCTTAAAATAATTTAAGTTTTGTGGCTGTCTTCCTTTGTCATTCGAATCAGATTCCTTTATGAGAGTCCACACATAATCGCCCAACATATTCTCATTCCAAACACCTCGATACATTCCTTCCATAGCTTCTTATTGTTGGTGAAATCTCTCTCCGCCTTTTTGAATGAAGGCTCATTCGTTACACTTATCGATGACAGCATTATGGGAATTGTTCAGGTTTCCTTGACTCCCGAAACACTTTGGGAAGCCACAAAATGCTATGGCTCAATAATGTACGTTCAGTAAAAAATCTCGCGCTACCAAAACAAAGCGTCGTCCCAGCTACAAGGATTGACAATAAAATCGTACTCAAACGCACAACCAATGCTGCTAATTGGTGCAAATAACTGGGGTTTGGCAGTACCCCGTAAAATTAGTGAAGGACGACGAAACGCACCCATCGCATCGAAGTGTTAACTAGGATGGAGCAAGGAACAAGTTATACAAACAGACATATTTCCTTGCATAATTGTAGCTGTAATTGGAGTGAAATCGATACAGCGGTTAAGGAGAGTTTTATTATAGATCCAAGCACATTACGAGAGCTCCACTCTGAAGATGACAAAAAGGCCATGAGTATTCTCGAGGATACTTGTAAAAAGGTTAACGGCCATAATCAAGTCGGCCTGCTTTGGCGAGATACGGAAGCCATTCTTCCGGAAACCTACTCCGCCGCTTTGAAGCGCCTTGAATGTCTTCGAGCTAAAATTAGCAAATATCCAGAACAGTTCGAAAAAATACAGGGCCAAATTGATAATCTGATATCAAAAGGGTACGCATTTGAGCTTGAGCCAAAAGACGCAGGTGCTTGGTATGTAGTGAAACCCTCCAGAGACGTATATTTTATATATTTTATTTTATATACGTTTTATGTATATTTTCAGATTTGCGAGATTGAAAAGAGACGTTTTGAATGGTAAAACAGTCCCAACAATACGCGAAGCATTACAAGTATTTATGAACGTGTTCGACCCACTGGGCCTGTTATCATGCTACACTATTGGTCTAAAGATGATACTCCAAAACCTCTGGCGAGCTGGTATAACATGGGACGAAGAGCTTCCAAATACACATATATTTTGGACACAACAGAAAAGCGTACTTCTTCAAGCTGGAGAACTGGAATTCCCTTGCTACTACTTATACCTGCTGGCAAATGCAGACCAGATCGACTTGCATACATTTGTAGACGCAAGTGAAGACGCTTATGTCGCAGTCACCTACCTTCGCATAAATAGAGGAGAGGACATCGACGGTATAAGTTGCAGCCAAATGTAAAGTCGCACCATTGAAACCCGTCTGAAACCACGCATGGAGCTTTTGGCAGCCGTAATGAGAGTGGGACTAGAAAAAAGAACCATGAACTCTCCAGGACTTAGAATCAATTCAAGCACAAACTGGTCAGACTCTAAAACCGTTCTTCAATGGTTAACTACGGACCCTCGGAAATTTAAATCCTTTATTATGCATAGTGTTTGTGAGATCATGGATAACACCAGCCGTAAACAGGGGCGCTGGATTCTTACGAAGGAAAACGTTGCGGACTCAGCTACAATATTCTTAAAAACTTCCGATGCATCCAGGTGGATCCAATTCCTTAGACAATCGGAAGATAAATGGGCACACCAAGATGTCGTTTTTGATCAAAATACCGACCAATCCGAATTACGTAAGCATTTTTTCATAATAACGAAACTAAAGCATTTTGATTAATTCTCGGACAGGAGACGTCTATATAGAGCCGTAGCTACCTTAATCCTATACATCCAACGGCTGCAAGTAAAGTGCGCCAGAAAATCACTGCCAAAATTCTTAAGTCCTGAAATCATACATGCAGCAAAGTCATGGCTATTTAAACAGTCGCAGTCAAAGGCATATTGTATGGAAATCAGCGCCCTTAAACACCATTAGGCTGTGGACAAGTCAAGCCCATTAATTGCTCTGAACGTTTACCTAGACGCAGAAGACATCCTACGTGTACAAGGAAGAGCAGATCGCCTGAATCCAAAAGAAAACGCTATCGTATTGCAAATAGAGTTCAGAGTCGCCTTTATAGTTGCAAAGTACTACCAGGAAAAATCTCGCCACATGCTCCACGAGTCAACTATCAACCTAATTCGAAGCACATTTTATATACCACGTCTACGAGTATTGTACAAAACTTTGCGTAAGGAATGTCAAAAATGCAAAATCGTCAATTCGACACCAAAAGTACCCAAAATGTCACCAGTACCAGCTGCCAGACTGGCTTGTTTCGAAAGACCCTTAACATATACGGGTATCAATTATTTCGGCCCCATATTAGTGAACGTTGGAAGGCACAAGGAAAAGCGTTGGCTAGTCCTATTTACATGCCTCACATTAAGAGCAGTACACTTAGAAGTTGCCGACGATATTTAAGCCTAAAAAAATAGAGCTGAAATTTAAATCATATCAGCCACTTAGGCGCATACGGCAACGCCACATAAGCACCACCATTCGGCAACTCTAAAAAATTACGGATGTGGCAACACAGAGAGACAATTGAGGATACAATAGACCAGCGAAGCAAGATCACAAAGTTTTTTAAAGCTCTCTCTTACTATTATTATCTTTACTTCTCAAATCACGACATTAAAGTCACATACTACTATTTTTGAGCCACCATGAAATACCATTGTAAATTGCTCACCACTAATCTATCGATAGTTCTTGTTGGAAATCTATATAGATTTGTCTACCCTTTATTGCTTCAAAATATTCAACGCAACACCCGTTCCTCAACAATAGTAATGAACCGAGGACAGATCCTTGAGGAACGCCACGCTTGACACATAGGAACGACGAATACACATTATTAATGGGCACAGTCTGCCTCCGATTACTTTAATAAGAGAAAATCAGTTTTGTTGCTGCAAGCGAAATATTACGTAGATGACTTAGCTTAAAACAAAGAATTTAGTGATTAACCGTGTCAAAAGCTTTACTATAGTCTAAAAGAGTCAAGAACATATTGTCATTGTACACTTTTTCTGTGATACCTTCCAATATGTTTATTATTGCAATTGTGAATCTTCTGTCCACACGAAAATCTACTCGACAAAATCGAACTTTTTTTTTCCTCAAGGATCCAAACCGATTTTTTCTGATAGATAGGTTAGGTTAGGTTAACCCAGACGGCCCTCACGGGGCCACGCATAGGCCAATATGGCCCTTAGTTGTCTGGATGGGTGTGTATGAACCTTTCGCGTGCCGCGGCCAGACAGTGACCTGTGAGTATTCCCACCAACATTCTGCAGTCCTTCCGTGGGAGGTGCAGTATGTAGTGGCTGAGTTTCATATTGCGCTCCTTGCACATGGTTTTTGAGGTTCTGCAGGTGGTGGTTCTGCTCCACCTGCTTCTTGCCTGTGTGTCGGCCCGTTTCTCTAAATCGCTTTGGAGCGTTCTAAGGGAGACAGGCACGTTCTCAGTTCTGTCGTTTGGCAGCCCGACGCCGTCCTTAGCCAGACCGTCCACCATCTCGTTGCCCTCGAT